GACACTCATACGCAAAATACACAAGCAAAAACATACATACATACATACATACATACTCTCTCTCTCTCACACACACACACACACACACACACACACACACACACACACACACACACACACGCACGCACGCGCTCAAAGTTTAATTAGTACAAGTTCACAAGACAAGACCATCACACCCTGGACAATCCCTCTCGACCTCTTGCCAAGAAATGCAAACAAAACATGAATTCTGTTGGAAAGATATTCATATATCGTGATCGAATATAAAATTCTTATAGGGCCAAGCTCCAAAATCGTGATCGAATATTACATTCTTAGATCCAGATCTGCATGATAGATTGCGAAAGAGGAAAAAAACAGGAAGGCTCAAAAGTGTAACGATAAAAAGGAAAGTGTCCTTGAACCTTTGCCCGGTGTAGTGTTTGCAAAGAAGCCCCCGTTATTTTGACTCCATTGCAAGACAACCAACATACAACACTTATGGCAGGAAGTACATTAGCGAGTTTTGAAGACGTAATTTTATCTTAGACACCTGTGGAAAAAATGATGGTAGCAAAATACCCCCCCCACCCCCCAACCGAAAAAACGAAAGAAAAACTAATCAATATTTTTTTTTAAAGGAGGTTAATTATCGACCAAGTTCAAAGGCTACTGACTGAATGAACAACAACAACCACCCCTCCCCCTTCTTTCCCCTCCCAAAAGAAAAAAAGAAAAAGAAAAGAAAAAAAAAAGACACATTCCCGCTTCACTACGCATGGGAGATACTGCCTGAGGACAGCAATACTGATAAGATTGTCTTTAAAACCCCAACAAATTCGACGACATTATCGTGAAAGGGACGTAAATAGTAAACCTACTTTGCTCTTACCTTTTCACTCGCTCTTCTCCCCTCGCATGATAATTTTCTTACGCTGCCTTTGACTCTCACTCATCTGAGTTTTCTACAGCACAACGGTTCAGAAAATTTACGGCTTCCCTCTGCTGTTTACAGTCGAAACAAAAGTCTACCAAACTACCAAACCCAAGCCATTATATATTATTTATTTGCTTAACGTATGCTTATTGCTCGGATTATAATAATAATAATAATAAATATATAGCATTTGTATAGCGCACAACCCCGCTCAACAACAGGCTCTATGCGCTTTACACTATATTATTCATTTCTACCAAACTTTGGTGTTTATTCTATGTAGATGAATAGGTTAAACAAGAATGGAGCAGTGACGTTACATGTATAGAGATGTTTGTGATGCTCAGAACTGGTTGCGTACAAAGAGGAAATTGCCTTTCGTTTATAAAAGGTCAGGTCACTTTCTATCTAGTAAATGTAAAAAGTTGTTCCCGCATCCGATCCGGACACTCGGGATTGCCTTGTTAGTGAGACAACTTTCTGGGCCTTCGGCATATTGTGGTAGGGTGGCCAGTTCCTTTTCACGCTGCCTTTACTTCCTCTGCTTCATCTAGCCTTTGGGCATGGCTGGTCCACAAAGAAACGTTAATGG